ATAAGTCCAGTATGAATGTAACTATTTACAAATGAAATTCCAATTGAATTTCAAGAATCTGGTAAATAGGCTGTCCTGTCCCGCTCAGAAGCAAATAGTAACATGTATTTAAAGATACATAAAGTAAAACGGAATTACAAAAATCCACAATCAATTACAATTAAATTACAATTTCAAAGAATCTGCAATAAGGTATCGGTCTGTCCTCATGGAGCAATGTAAACAACATTGTATCATTTAGATACATGAAAGTACAATATATTGAACACTGTTGCTGCTGTCATTCCCCCTAATGATAACCTGAGATGGTGAATTATAACTCCCTCCATGAAAATTGTTTCAGGAAAGGGTATAGGAGTAACAGTGTAGAACTAGATAAGGCCTTGTGTCATGATAAGCCACGCCTGCGTTACTTTATTAAGGAAAAGGTGGCGAGCGTTCTTTTTAATGACAGTTAGCTTTCTCTGCTTTATCATCCATTGTCTAGTTCCTTTCTCTATCAAGCACAATGAGAGCAGCGCTGGAACAGGCTCTAGCGTGTCAGTGCTTGTGATTTGGATCTTCTCCGCATATTTGTCCGGGTGTTTTGATTTCAAGTGGTGGAGTAAATCCGAAGTGGTGAAAAGTTCTTGCAGTATAACACCCCCTCGAGGAAATGTCAGCTGAACACAGTTTTACAAATCGCAATCCGCGCCTTCTTTCTCTGATATTTTGAAATATCTCCAAGAGCCGGCAGACATGTTGGCGTGAGCCAGCGCGGCATGGTCGCGGAACGCCGTGCTTGTTGCAAGCGTTTTGATTACGTATTCACAACAACACGTAGTTACCCAACGTACCCTGTTCTCTGCATTCGGTGATATTTTTTTCGATGCTGGGCGAAGGGGCCTTTTTAACCATTTGTCGGGCCGATAATATTCGGCGGCCCCGATATATTCGGTGCATCCCTACAAATGGGATTTTGAAAAGCGGGGGGGACATGTCGCCCCCTGTCCCCAAGTGGAAATTACGCCATGCGCGTCTACCCAACATGAACAAGTATTTACATTTTCATGTTAATCGGGCACAACGCACACCGATTTGTCAAAAAGCAGGGACGCAGCTACATAGTTCACCAAAGTAGGTCTTAGCCTCTTTGCCCTCTCAGTCAAAAAATCACAAGACAAGGATACAATGGATAAGATCTCAAGACAGTGTATGGCTCAAGAAGACTTAGGTAATATCACTCAAAACTGTGTGTGTGTGTGTGTGTGTGTGATCGATCACTGGATCTTACCTTTTTAGAAGTGTTTCTTCCTTGCCCTTTTCTTTGCAAAGTCTGTGACAAGTTCATCAAAAATCCTAACATTGCACGCTAGATCAACAACATCCTCAGGCTCTGTGACCATCACTGTTCCTTGTGGTTGCTGGCCTAATTTGTCATTTTTAGCTTTTAAAAAAAAGCTATTTATTGTTGGGAAATGTTTTAATGCAGCCGCCACTCTCTCTTCCTTTTTCTTTCTTTTCACTGCCTTGCTGGGCGTTCAGCTGCTACAGGCACCATCCTTTTAGCTCACGTGACACAATGTCAATGTGACATGAGTGAAGCTGGGGTTGTGATTCGACTTTAGACCGCCGCCTCGTAGTAATGAAGTTGATCACATACATAGTGAGAGCTACAGTAGAGATGGTTTAGAAGATATATTAATTTGACCCTATAGAAAAGCTGAGTTATTAATTGCGACGGAGAGTGAGTTTCATTTAAAACAATGTATGATGAGTGAGGTTGTGCCCAAAAAATAAAAATATCTTTTTTTGTTTCTATTGTCACTGTGCCCAGTGTGCCCTGTGGTTAATCCGGCCTTGGGTGGGGGCTATTGGGATCTTCCATTTAAAGTGATGTTTAAAATTCACATTTCAAAGTGCTGTTTGACGCTCGGCGTAAACTTCGCGCACTGCCAATCACAGAGCTTGAGGACTAATCACGGGGTTTGTCAAGCAAAGCACATGGTGTAGTCCTAAAAGATAGCTGAGGATTATGGGTAGTGTAGTGTCTTCGGCAATCCTAAACTCCGAAAAAATATTTGTTTCTCCGAATCAAAGGGGAAAAATACAAAAGCATTGTACGCAATTTTTAAACCAATCAATGTTGTGTAATTAACAAGGATAATCTGGTGTTTTTGAGTTGATGTGTAGTGCAGATATCACTGTAAAATCAATCGACAGTAAGGAGAATACTTACTTCCGGGTGTAAAATTCTCCGCTATCCAATGGGAATGGACGCTCACATTGCCTTTACCTGCTGCCGACATGGACCGATGCGGTGCTTCCCTGAGCGTCAAATACTGCCGCCGATGGGAATACATTGCAATCGGTTGAAAGGTCTTTGAGTCCGTTTATGAAGCTGAAGGAGACTCGGCGCGTCAAAACTGCACGCCAAAGGACCCTGACCAAGCGTCGCTATTGGACTATCAGGGAGTGAAACTGTGTTGCTCAAATATGTTAACAGTTGTAGTGACTGGAAGACTGTACTGAACATATTTGCTAGTGTATTCATTTGACCATTAACCTTTTACTCACACTCATGTTCACGCTCTTCACCACAGCTTATAAAGATCTAAATATCCTTTCCTTGTATTGCTTTTTACGAAATAACAACCTAAAACTGTTCCATCAGGACAACACTGAAATCCTGGGTTACATACTTGGCCTGCTGTCTTCTGTCATCGCCTGTACCTCCAGGTTCCCTGCCCTCTGTAGAACAGTAAGTGACAGTACACAAGATGTCAGAGCATCTTTGTCTTGCATTCACAAAATTGGTCCCAGTATTAAATCTCTTTCAAACGTTCTCCCTTTAGTACAGAGGGGAGATGTTGACCTGTGCCCACATCTTCTCTGGGCTCCTGTGCTCCCTGGCTAGTGCCCTGTATGCTGCGGCCATACTCCTCTACAGCACTCGGTTTGGGTTTATTTTAAGAGTCATGCCGTGGCTGCTGTCAGCGATATGCTGCATCACCCTGGACCTTCTTGTATCCTCCATAAATCAAAGTGTGATTACATACTACTTGCTCACAATCAGTCTGATTTGTTTTCCTTGTATGTGAAAACCTACAAACAACTTTTATTTAAAAGTGAAGGAGCACTTAATCAACAACAATATAAAATAGAAGAGAAATATGAAATAACACTATTAAAGCAATTGGAAGTGGTAGGTTTGTGCAGAAATGTGGAAAAACGTTCCGTTTAGCTCAAGGCTACACTCCAGCGTAACACTCCTGAAAAGGTTTTAACCAGGTCATTGGGAACAGCGTTGCAAAAGGTTTCTGGTTGGATTCACAATATTTATTCAGCTTTTCCAGGTTCTGATCTTTCTCATATAATATTTTCAGCAAAAACAGTGATAGACACCATGACTAAAGAAAAACACATTTTAAATAGGACTCTAATAACAACATTACTGCCCACACTGTTAGATATCTGGGGAATACATGCACTTCATTTATTTGTAATATATAAATGATGTCTTGAAATGCTTGAATGTATGTGAATTGTTTTTGGTTTTTCAACCAGTTGGAATCTGTTGACCTTTAATCTAACATCAGATTCTTGTCATCCACTGGTGGAAGAGAGGAACAACACGGCAGCTTGTACATTTTTCTCCAGACAGAGAAAACCTTTTAGGAGGATCAGGCATCCCGACTGAGGATAACGATGTCATGAAGAGACAAAGAAAACAGCAAGTTCATTCTTCAGCAAGGACTAAAGTATGTTTAACAACAATACAAGACTTCTGAACTGATTATTTTATATAAACAATGACGATAAGATGTTTTCTACTCATTCTACTCATTAATTGTGTGGATGTGCATGCGTCAGTTTTATAATATCAATGCCAGTGCTGTTTTCTAGTTTGAGCATAATATTCTACAACTTTTTTCAAAGATAAATCCTGTCCAGAGGATGACTGAGATGGGCGGTTATATGGATGTCAGTCTTCATCCTGTAGAAAAAGTAAGCGAATAATCTGGTGTGGAACAGATTGCAAGCTCACTTACTTTGTTTTGCACCTCCATCACCGGTCAATTCTTGCATTGGAATATATTTATTTTTGTTTTGCAGACTTGCCTTCAGAAAGTGACGTTGTCCGAGGTGAAGGACCTGCCTCTCAACATGACGCTGCGAGTGATCGGAGGTGACCGTTTCTACTCCTCAGATACATCCTGTGAGTCTTCCCCTGTCAGCTCTGACCTGGAGGTGGGTTGGAGCCCTGTGTAGCCCTGTTGGTGAGCAGTAGGACATCTTCTTACAAACTTTAAGCTATTCAGTCAGAGCACAGGTCTAAAATAAATGCGTTACATTTAATGCAAAATACAGTAGCCAGCAACTGCATAAGCAAAGTTGAACCCCTTGGATTAAATGTTAAGCCTGTAGTTATCTGAAACTGATATTTCACCCATTATTTGATTTCAGCCAGCAGTGCGACAGTGACTTCAATTTGGTATGTCCGGTTGTCAAAAGGGAAAATCTTGGGGAAAAGTCTCTAATTTTCACTATTCCATATATTATTTACATATTATTTCTGCAATATTTCAGCAATTGTGGATACTGAAAACCTTTATAATCTCAGACCGACCAAGCTTTTAAGTGTAATTATCATTATTTGCCACTGGGGGGCGGCAATATTTAGTATTGCATGCCTACCGTGACAGCATAAATGAATACAACATGGTGTTTGACTGCTGTGCAATATCCCCCTTGAGTAAACTGCTGTTATTCATGAATCTGTAATTGTATTGCCTTTTTATATATGGGCTTATGTAACGGGTTTCCCTGCAAAGCACAGCACGGAAGTTCATAAAGAGGTTAAAGTCAAAACATTATAATTGATTTACTAAAAGGTTGGAAAAAATACGGTTGTACCTCCTGTGTCTGTAGGTAATATACTTTTAGTATGTAAGGGCTGTCCCATTGAGATAAGATAGATGAAATGCCTCATTCATTTTTGAAGTTATATTGAGCAAATTAAACGTCCAGCGCTTAGTCATAAGAAGTAACTGTCAGGAGAGGTCAGGAGTTTGTGTTAATGTGACCCTGAGGGAAGTAAGCCAGACAGTCATCAGAGGTTCTTTTAAGAAGACAACAGTCAGCATGCTCTTGTTGGATTGATGAGTCAAACTCTTTGGAGACACCCGTTTTTGTGTGAGGGTTTGTGGGTAAAAGTCTATGAGGAGAATATTTGTGAGAAGCAGAGTATGTATTTCAATGATGATTTGAAGAAGTGGAAAAAAGTGTCTTTATTCTACAGCGTACAATTTCTGCCCAGAATTAAACATCTTCTACACTGCAAAAAACAGACTTGTTTGAGACGACAGCTCCAAACTCCACTGTTTTGAGTTTGAGTTTGCAGGGAGAGTGAAATTACTGGCTGTTCTTTTTCAGGCACTCGAGCCACAAGAGAAACTCCCTTACTGTTCTGCTGTGGAAAACCAAGCTATGGAGGATGTAATTTATTCAGAAACAAAGGCAAATGGTGTCGGCGCAAACAATTGCATCTTGATTCCATTTATGAAACAGGAAAAAGCAAATGACGCGACTGCCCCTTAGTACATGTAAGAAAAGTAAGAGGCCTTTAACAAAAGTTTCAAAATGTAATATGTGGTTATGTTGTATGTGGTAGAGTGTACAGCTGTATCTGGCTGTGTGAAAACTCCTCCTCTGTACCTTAATCTAATCTAAACTCTCAATGGTTGGTGGAGGTTTGTTTCCCGGAAAATGTCAGGAGCTTCTAAATATTCAATGTTTTGGGTGCAGCTCACATTAGTCTGCAAGGCTATAATACACAATCTGTAAACTCCTGATATTATCTGATAATCTTTTCTGATCAACACATCACCAGTCTGAGGTTCTTCTAAACAAAGACAGCAGGTACATTCATAGATTGGCCCCTCCCTTTCTGGCAGGTTTTCCACTTGCTGGTTGTTATTATTAACAGAAGCTGTTTACTTGGTGATTTAATGGAAAGTTGGTTTCCACAGTGTCTAATGTGTAATCTCCAACACAAAATATACAGATGAGTTCCAGCCTGCGCTTTGAAAACTGTCGCTTGATATTTGGTTGTCAAACTTTTCCACTACATAAAACGCAGAGGTCACCCAACTGTAAAAAAGCCAGCCGAGGAAAGAAAGAAACAGATCATAGTGCTAGGGAACAATTTTAGATGTGTATACAGAATACATGAATAAAAAAGTTGTCTGCTTCTCGTGAAATCACCATAATTACGGATCATGATAAAACCACACAAGGTTTTGCAGTGTGTTTCTTGCATACAGCGAGCAGTCAGAGTTCACTGCACCCAACAGCGTGAATTGTCCATTGTGCCCTTTGTTTTCTTGCACATTTCTGCTGAGCGCCAGTTCTTCGCTGAGGTGGAGGTGAGGGGAGGGGGTGTAAGCAAGGGTAAGAATTGTTTGAGATTTGCTTTGTGGCCCAATTGTTCTCCTGTAAAGGATATTTGATTAAAGACCAGCACTGGGTTGGGCCTGTCTGCCTAGGAAGTAGTGCAAAATAGTTGCTTGTCTATAGGGGGCCAGTGTTACCCTCGCTGCTATTTTGGGAGATGTTTATGGTCTCCTGTGTGATGCCTGCTGGCCAGGATCTAACTGTGTGTGTGAGCAAGTCTAGGCATTTTGCATTCTTGACATTTTACTAATGCTCTTACAAAACAACATGAGTCATAAAAAAGGACCTCAGACATTACAAATAACCAGTATTAAATGGGATAAGGATCAGGGTCTGATGTAACCACAAGTATTTCTGTACTCCAGAAATCATAAGGCAAGACAAAGAAGTGCTAAATGGACTGTATTCGCTGCTCGCATGTAGTTTAGATGGTGTGAGCACACTGTAACCACTATGAGACATAATCTGTCACCCAAAAAAATACCAATGTTGAGGCCCCAAAGGGATAGTTTGGATTTATGGGTAGATTGAGGTAACTATCCATAGTCTGTTTATTACCTACAATAGATGAAGGTCTACATACTCCCAGTTTAGAGGATCAGACAGGAGGGCAGGCGAAAAAGAAAATCAATGTGCTGATGTCGACGGGTGCAGCAGACAAAGGTATTATAGCCATAATTTAAAGAAAAAGAAAAGTCCCATCGAAAAAAAACACAATAAGCCATATTTAGAATATTATCCTGCTTTAATACTTGCTGTGAGATTGCCTTTATGATCAAAGATATGACAAAAATATGAATATTGTGTTTTTGTCAGTAGTGTCTGGTAGCTTTGGAAAGAGTCTGATAGCTAATCAAATAGAAACCGACCAATCCATTTATGGATGTCTTTACAGCACAATATTTTTTTATTGTGTCCTAAGACATAACAGAATGAATGAATAGCTACAGGGATGGTTAATAAGCTACTAAGGTGTGATGAGTGTTATCTAAGCATTGTAAACTATGACACATCAAAATGCTTCATATTGAATTCTCCATCATAATATCTTGACTGTTCTGTATTTTTCAGTGGGATTTTGAAGAGGCAAATGCCCCGTGGAGAGAACCAACAGCAAATCAACAGGAGGGAGAAGAGTTTCCGACTCAAAGGCCAACAAACCCCAAACCCTTCTGCACCTGTGCCATGTTTGGATTCCCACAGAAAGTCCTGTCTTCGAGAAAAGAGAATGAGATGCAGCTTTGACAGAAAAACAAACAAATGTCATTATCAATTACTAATGTGATACACATCTGGTGCATTTATTTGAGGGGAAATAAAAAGATAAAACACTAACCTGTTATCTGTCTTGTTTTACTTAAGCTGATGTGTGTGATGCAATAAACAGTATATTTCTCGTCAACTCGACTGGCCAGTGTTGATCAAATGACGATTAAAATTGCAGATTTTGCATTGTGCAGTTTGTCTCTTAAATATAAATGTACCTTTAACTAAAGCTTGTGGCTTAACTAAGTCAAAGCTCTGTCTTATTCACAAAGCCTTCTGAAAACTGAGAGAAGTCTTTCCCTAATAAAACAATATTGCGACCCTGCTGCCTTGCAGGGTTATGGGGTCATATCCTGTATTTTGCTTGTCGCCCCAGGTTATCAGGGCTGGACTGGGAAAAGGCCCCTCAGAGCAGATAGGCACCAGACTAGACGGCCATGACTCCCCCGTCCTCTCCATCATCCCTCAGAGCTCCATCTGCCTGCTCCCAGTCTTTAGACCATGGTGTTGGAGCAACAGACCAGGCCATTTTTAACTAAAGGGACTTCCTAAAACTGATAACGGAACAATACACAGATTAGAGCAAAGTTATGGAGCTCATTTTACTCCTCCCTGTTACATTTCCCTAAGTGATATGCCTGTCTGAGACAAATTACTGGGAAACAACTAATGAAGTTGAACAGCAATTGCTGATATCAGCTGTAGAAATGAATGTCATTCAACACCTTGTTCGGTGTGTAAACATGACATGATAGGTCGGGCTGGGAGATAATTCAATAATATTGTTTACTTATGGTTATATATGGGTTATCCATGTCAAGATGATAACATTTCATATTGTTCCATCTGTTGTTGTAAATGATTAGGTTACATTTTAAGCTAAAGGGCTTTTTTTGTGCATTAGTTTCTGCAGATCAGTTCTCATGTAACATGGTAAAAAAGAGCTTTGAACATTTGTATAATTATTTCACGTCTGGTTTTATATACCATCATGTCAGGAAATCCCTATTAATAATGTGATGTTAACCACACCCTTACTGCCAGTGGACATTTGACCTCCTAAATTCAGTCAGTGCTTAACCAGATCCAACTGGTAACGCTCCACCTCCCGCACAAGCTCCGACTCCTTCCCCCCCAGAGAGGTGACGTTCCACGTCCCCAAAGCCAGCTTCTGTCGCCCGGGTCTGGTCCGTCGAGACCCTCTGCCTTCACTGCCACCCTTCTGGCAGCGCACCCGACCCCATCGCTGTTTCCCGTAGGTGGTGGGCCCGCGGGACGGAGAAGCGGAGGTGTTGCCCACGTCGCCTTTTCGGGCTGTGCCCGGCCGGGCTCCGTGGCAAGCCCGGCCACCAGACGCTCGCCGACGAGTCCTCCTTCTGGGCCTGGCTCCAGAAGGGGATCCCGGGCTTCCTCCGGGCCGGGTATCCTCACTTCGTGTGTCGTCTTTCATGAGGTCTTTTGCAGTGCTTAGTACATATTTATTTTTGTTTTAATGAATTTGGGATGTGATTAATCAACCCACATAGAAATGCCTTGGGTGCTTCCTGCTGCATAGGCTATATGGCGCTGGGCTAATGTAGTGTTGCTAATGGATAGGAATGTATCCCATGTGTGCAGCTTAGTTAAGAAGCCTGACATCTGAAATGCAGAATAAGATAAATGATTACTCACATAGTGGCTGTTTAACTGGAACTCAGATTGCAAAATATGTTTCCTCAACTTCACTGGAGTCAATATCTTTGTAAAAGTTTAATCTTTTTGGTTAAAAACTTAAGCTATTAACCTGCATGTAAATGGACCTTAAAAAATGTCTTATCTGTATATCCAACAGATTCAATAAACTAAGCCGTCTGATGTCATGATGAGTGCTGAGCTAGCATTGCTCCATCTCTGGGCCTCATCTCTGTCCCTTCTGAGACTAGGCCAAAGGAAAACAAACCGCGTGTCCCACGTAAAAAGGTGGAATTCTGTTTGCAGAAGTGATGAAGAGGACGGATTAGCACATCTGAAGCTGCAGTGGGAAACAGCCTTTTCTGTTTTTCTTGGCCCATGCGTCAGAGATCGCCTCACTGAAGAGGACATGGAAGACATTGGCTGATTTGAGCCCGCAGGACATTTTGTTCACCTCACACAGGGGGAGCAGGGAGAGGGGAAATGTTCAGGAGTGAGACAACATACTGAATGGTTGCAATGAATGTGTGAGCAATAAATCATAAACAGAAAGCTGAATAACAAATACCTCGTTTTTACTGAATACCTGAATAAAGATTATGAGTTGCATAAGAAGGGGGACTATTTTTGACATATTAATGTTCCAATATCCTTTTAAAAATAAAAAAAAGTATTCAACTGTGTGGCTAAAATCCAAAAATTGCAAAAATAAGCCACTATTATGTGGCCAAGATGAATATACAAGACAAATTGTTCACAATATGCATTTGAATGGAAGAAAGTCAGATGTTGCAACTGACCCCAATCAGTGGAAAGTTGCAATACATATAATTTAAAATACATTACATTTAACATTCACTTTTTGTCTAGAGCATAGTATTCTTCAAATATGTATTGTTTTACAATAATATTATAGTTTTATAAATGTATAGCCTACAATAATAAAGTAGCATTACTTATTGTACAAAACTACAACTTTTTTCAAACTGATTTTTTCGCCACACTTGTTCACCTCAAAAATAACTTTAGCATAATCAAAAAGCATTATAAACTTTTATTTGCGTTAGATATCCTTTAAATTACCCAGAATAACTGAAAAAAAATGCTGTTGTACGTTCTATCAAGACAAGGCTCCACTCTGTAAGCCATGACAACACCATGTGCTAGCTACAAACACAGACTTTAACACATGCTATGATGTCACAATCAACACAACAACGCAACCGTATGTTTCGTGAATTCATATTTTGTCAAGACAATACGCTTCCCTTTTATTGCCGAAATGACATTTACTACATGGGGGTGGTCTCGCTCTCCACCTTGCTCCCCCCCCCAGTGAAGTCACTTCCTGCCGTCAGACAGCCAGTTCAGGCCAGTTCACCACGGCTGTAGTACTCAGTCTGTCCCACTGAGCTGTCAATACAGAAGCTCTCCACTCTGCAACCCGGCTGTTGCGACAACATTTTCCTACTAAACCTAGTCCCTCTTTCTCTTCAACGACGTTTTCCTTCAGATAACAGCTCCTCTCTTCTCACCATGACTCGGAGGTGATCTTCAGAGTGTCCCGGTGGTTCTGGGTGAGTGTGTTAGATTATGTTTGCCTTCATCGCTGTCATCATCACCCATGTGGCTAGCTGCAGTTGGGGGAAAAAGCTAACGTTAGCTGATGCGTTTCCGGGAAAACTGGCCTGGCTTAATATAGAAACTCTATTTCTCTCAAATAGTTTCTGAAACCGAAAGAAGGATGAGCAGTGAAAGACACGTGAAGGTTGTTATTAGAGGTAGTATTACGTAGCGGGCTAACAATGGATATCGGCTAACGTTAGCCAGCTAGCCAACGATGTCTTGAAGCCATGGTTGGTTGTCACCAGTGATCACTAGTGAATGTTATCAGGTCTGTCGGAAACATGAGATAGTGAAAGATAAAACACGTATGTTCTTACAATGTAGATAATTGACAGTAACACAGGACACAGGTGTGATTGTAAGAGTATTTATTTGGTCCTAATTGGCTTAAGACTGAGTTTTCTTCCGTTGGGGGTGGTTGCTAACAGTTACTGGTCTTACTTTTCATTTAGTGTAGGCAGTAAATTTTTCTTTTCTTTAACATAGACCCTGAAATTACATATAGATAGGAAAAAAGGGGAGGACACATGTTAACATAGGGAATGTTAGTTTGAGAATGATATGGTGAGTAATTGCTGAAGGGAAACAGCTGTGATGTGTCAGTGTCTTCAACGACAGGCTTCTTTGGAAGCCGTTATAATAAAATAAAGTATGTAATGATATAAGAGTCAATTATGTACAATACACAAGCAAGCCATCTTATGTACCTATTAAACAGTTGCCAGGAATTCAAGTAATGAGAACATGTAATTGGTCATATAAACAAACACTTATTGTAAGAACTATTTCCTTTTTTAATTGTTTTACCTTGAACATTAACACTTGACATTATCATCTCTTTTGAGAGTTAATAAAATTCAAAAGCATGAATCTGATCCTTCCCGGGACATTCTTAAATGAAAAAACAGTATTTCCAACAGTGAAAGTATTGATACTGGTCACTCCAAAATGTAAATAAAACTGTATGAAACCTAAGCAAACTATGTAAATGCTGATCACGCCTTCTTCAATAAATGCCTGTTTGTCTCTTTCACGCTTGCCTCAGGGTGATCTTGTAGGTTAAAACTTTACCCTAAAATTGAAAAGGAGAGGAACACACTTTATTTGTGAAACATTACAGTGTGCAGACATCCTTTTGTCATGAGGGGACAGCTGTCATTTTTTAGGTGCTGCATTATATAGATTAGCTGCCTGAATGCATACAGAAGTCAAAGCTAGCCAGCAAAGGGTCAACAAGAAGAAAGCCCACTGCAGCATCAAAACTGTATGAGAAAGTTGTTCTAGCTAGAAAATAGCTGGAATAAAGCTTTATATATTTCCTCTTCCTGCTGCTACATTAACTTAATACCAATAATTCGAGGGAGATGTTTTCTGGAAGTTAATTTAGGATAGAAAAGATTATGAGGGAAGAACATTTTTACATTTTGAACAAACAATTTGTTAGGCAGAAAATGTGCATTACTGTATGTTTACACATTGTGAAATGGTCACCTTTTGGCTTGTAAACAAGTCTTAGATTTGCACTTCTGGCCTCATACAATTTTAATGTCAAATTGCATGGGAACCAAGAGTGAACAGTAATGTAATGTCTTGCCACAAATTATCAAATTGATTTGAGGTCTGGACTGTGACTTTCCCACAACATTTTATTTTTGAATATCCCACAAGCCTTCCAATGGTAGCCAATATCATGCGAGTTATATTCAACTGTGACTTTCTCTCTGAACATCTAGAGAGCTGTGACTGGTGAAGCACCATGGTCGCAAGAACATATCTCTGATCCTTTACAGTAGCTCATTCAGAGGTGCGTTAGGCCTCTTGGTGGACTCTTTCAAAACATTGCATTTTGATGGTCTTATAGCTGTGCTGTTTTCCTTTTTGCTTTTCCATTTGGTTGTCATTGGCCTTACTTTCAATGAACATCCAGTGCCTTTTTTGTATTCTAACAGGGATGGTTCACATATTTAACAAGATCATTGATTAATCAGCATTCATTTATCTTAGAGGCAGGCTTATTTATTAAAAAAATAAATCTTACAACTTAACTTGCAACTATGATTTCCATTGAGTTTTGTGTAACTTCAGGCAACCATTGGGATGATTTAAGTGTGTTAAGCAAAGGGAACGGGTTATCTTGTTTTGTCAAGTCTTGTGTAATATTACTGTTGCTAATTTAGTTTCATTTTTCCCTTTGATTTAAAATCAGTCTTGAAGTGGCTGCATGCTGTCCATGTGTATATCAGTAATTCAAACTGATTGCCATTCATCAATTTGTGCCCGCACACCTGCGACACCAAACCCATTTCAGTTAACAAGGTGCCAGAAAGGGATTTTTCTTGTCATCACCAACAACAATCTGTGAAGAAGAAGCCTTCATCACAGTTGGCATAGGGGCATGGTAAAAGGCACACTGAGGGAAACACATTAATAACTTACCTGGACATTGATAAAATAAAACACAAGTCATTGTTTGTTCAAAACAGATTTATTGGAAGTCTTTTACAAGTAACCTGCTTACCCTCTCCTTCAAGGTTGTGAAGGCCAAAAAGGGCAACGGAAAGAAGCAGCCTTAAGTAGAGGCTCAATCAGTGGGAACACCTGTGCTCAATTGGAGCATAGTGCATGGGCACGGGTGGCACTTTTCTTGCAAGTGTAAAAATGTTATTGTTTGGGGCTTCTCTGGTCAGAAAGATATAATATGTTGACCTATTTTGATTTGTTGTGTTTGGGTAATTTGTCTTGCATTGTGAATGTGTTTGTAGATTAGAATGACATTGGTTAGGGGTATAAATAGTGGATTGTCCTATGGGGAGGCGTTTAACATGTATAAAACCCTCGCCACAAGTGTTTTGGAGGAGTGTGGCTGGAGAGCAGAGAGGTACCAGTTATATGTCCTCGACCTGTATTTATATATGAGGTTTTTGTTTTCTTCCTGTAAAGTCCTTGTTACTTTATGTTTTTTCAGCATGTTGGCTGTCAATAAAAGCACCTAAGGATACATTTTTTGTGTCTCTAGCCATCTTATTTAGTTCCTAGTTTTTTCATCGAACCTTTTTGTAACACAATCAATATAAATATGTCCTATCAGAGGTCCTGTCGGCTTCATTTGTGTACCAACTGCACAGTGCAGTTTTCTGTTGTATTCATTGTCTGTTCTGTTTATACATTAACAGAGACAATGCAATTAAATGATTAGTGTGTGTGTGGCTATAATCAAAATGTGACATTTGAGTCCAAATAAAGAATCTTCACACAAATACCCCAGTGCAACCTTTCACTAAACACTTAATATGTCACAGGTGACATGCGGCATAAACTTCCACTTGGAGTCAAGGATAGACAGGCATTATTTCAGGAAAGCTTTGGGAACATTTCCTTACATTTGGCACAAAAGTCAACTTGGATTAGCTGATTAGAATTTGGTTGAGAGATGAAAGATCAGGCCATAAAATGCATTTATTGTCATTACTCAAGAGAATCAAATGTTTGATGGGATATAATGACGCGGGATGACATAAACTGAAACTTGTAAACTGATTGGTCGAAACTTGCAAGGTGATAATTCTAATTGGCAGCATTATTGACACACTCTAGCCTGTATGTGCAGCATTCAGAGAAAAGCCTAACTGGTGAGTAAAGAGTCCTCTGATTTCCCATTCTTTGTAAAGCATCTACTGAATTCCAATGTAGTCTTACAATGAATAAACTAATCACTGTAGTCCTACTATTTAGTTTAAGTGGCACTGTCTTCTGCCAGAATAAAGTCTACTTAAATATTTGGCCAAATTGGAGCGTAGACATACTCTGTATTAATGCTTGGTTTTGTTTTAGGACTAGTTGACATGATGACTTTGTTTAGCTGCTGGATCCGTTTCACATATTGTTTATGTCTGGATTCCTATAATCAAGAAATTGAACTTGCCCTTTTCACCTTTGAACTTTCTTCCTATCTGTGAGAGAACTTGAGGTCTTGTTCAAAGATGCAGTGAGGTGCCAATATTCCACTGGCCTTAGAGTCAATGCCTCAAGACTTTTCACATGTGAGCTTTAAGAAAGCAGCTTGGGATGGAAGGCCTGCCAGTGTTTGTTCAGAGTGGAAGTGAGAAATATCCTGACATGGTAAAAGTCCTGTCAGCAGCATAGCTCTGTTTTTGTTTGGGATTCCCACAGCAGCGTGATGGAGAAACATATCTTTCTAGTGCCGGTCTAGCGCTTTGCCTCCAACAAGAGCAGGACAAACCAGCGGCCTCCATCAGTGGAAGTGAGATAAAACACTTGAATTGAAAATAGAAACTGTGAAATTTAACACCGTAACCCAAACTTGAGAATATAATTCTGCAATTAGGTGAATCAATCGGGCATTGCAGATGGACTGAGCAAATCACTGGTGGAAATTGCCTTGCTGATTTTAATCATATTGTTGATCAGCACGGTCCAGCAATTCAGGTAGTCCTTTTTTAAATTGAATTAAAGATTTTGCTGAGCGCTTCAAATTATTTGCATAGCCTGGTCCTTCAAATTAAAGCTTTTAATCCCTTACAAATCTGCTTCTAGTCTTCAGGAGTGGAGTGCACCAGCTGGGCGTAAAAAAGTAGGTCTTAACTCTAACGTCGGGCTTAGCTACGTCCGACTTAGTGATTCGAATTTACACCGAGTGCACCAAGCCTGACTAGTCTAGGTCGTAGCTGCGCCTGGTCTTAAGATGCGCGTCCACGTGAATACACGCGAAACAGTAATTGTTGCCAAGCAACACACGTCTACATAATTTAACACTTGAACTCCTCCATTCAGAGCAAACTAAGATTTGGATAACGAAGTCATGGATAACAGAAACCAAAAGAAGAGAAACATGACGCCCACACCCCGAAAAAGAAAGAGGGATTTTACAGAGCTACAGCGTGAACTGGTGGAGAAAGAGATCGTTCGTGTGGAGGTGGAGACCGCAAAACTG